CAGACTGATAACATTCACCAAGTAACATCTATAGCGTCACTGAACAGCAGGCTGCCCGATAAATGTGTCGCCGTCTAAGAGGAAATGTGTAGAGAATGTGTGTGCACCTTCAAGAACATGTCAACATGTGTGTTCATCAGATGCAACACCATCTACAAACACACATACTTAGTGTTTGATCCCTGATAAAGATTATCTCTAAACTAGATTTCTTATACCTTAAATGAAACTGTCAGTTCTAATATCACGGAGCTATTAAGCTGCATTTAAAAGGTTTTTGGAGCGCTGTGGCCATATCTCCTAATCCAGACCAGTTATTACAGTAATATAAAGTTTATATGGGAGCACAACCTCAAACAGCGTCTCTAGCATCGGCTGCTTTAGGGTGTGAGCGGGGGACGGTCTGTTTCTTCATTTAAATACCTACAATTTACAGATATTTGCAAATTCTGTTTTGTTTTTTTTTTCTTTCTCTTTATTGTGTCTGTCCGTCAGCTTTTTAAACAGAGGAGACACCAACAAGGTTGCTGCTTTTCCGAACCTCCTCCCGGACCAGTTAATCAGAGGAGGCAGCCTGAGGGAGGTCCCAGCCCACCACAGGCCGACGTGCCCTCAGGCAGCGGCCGGGCAGGAAATGAAGCAGGACGATTTGCAGCTGGAGGATGCTCAAGGTTTCCTTGTTTGTGACAGCTCATGGACGGTGAGTCTCTGGTGCTCCCGGACCGACTAAATGAGCGAATTAGGGCTGCTGGGCCAGAATCTACCAACAGCAGCATCACAATGAGTTCTGTACGGCGCTATCTGTAATTTGATGTCGCCATTTTAAATACGTTTCTGTATGACATCCTGTTGTCGTTCAGTCGAAGCGTTTCCCCGCTGACGGAGGCAGATCGCCGTCGCTCCATTCTGTAACCTGCCATCCAAGCAAACAGCGGCGCCGGCCGAGCTGTCACCTGTTGTCTCAGGTATGTGCAAATGGAAATGTGCTGCTGCTGTGAGAATGTAGAAATCCTGTTCTGTTATTATAAAACACCAGAAGAAGTCACAAGAACCTGGACTCTGGTGCTGTTAAACCTGAAACATGTGCAAAACGTGCTTTCTACGTTCCTGCGTGTCTTAACAGCCTGGAAGCAGCACTTCAGTTTGAAACCCGTTTTACATTTCAGGGGGCTTTGCCTCCGTCAGGCTCAGCGTGAGCAGCATGTACCTGATTCTTGGATCAAGTGGACACCTCTATCTCCTACGTTACAACATCCTCCTGGAGCCAGAACCAGAAAACCAAGTGCTTAACACTGATCCCTCAATCTGCCAGCAGAGGACAAATCTCTTGAAAAGACCAAAGCCACTGGCTGTTTGATGAGTCCATTCAGATCTCCGCTCTGTGAACACTGATAGCGCCGGGATTTCTTAACTACACCTGCTTTTCTCTCTACTCTCTCTTTATCAATTTAATTTCCCTCCAGAAAGCGGTCCATCAAGCCGCTCCGCTCCTCGCCGGACCAGACCTCGATAAGCTCGGTCGGGGCGTTTGGGTTCCTCGTGCGGGGAACACGCGATCCTCCTCGGCTCGCCGTGCGACTGATAATAAGCTGGAAATGAGCAGTTCCAAAACTGCTGAGGTAATAATTGACTTTCTCGTGTTCATCTTCCCCTCGAGAACAATGATTCAATGTATGTCAATTTTTATAGGTCAATCACTGAAAGCTTATATCCTTCATTAAAGAGCGGCTCCTCCCCCCGACGCTCCAAGGACGAGCTGCTGCATGTTGACCGGACCGCAGCTCAGCAACACATCCCAGACTGGAGCAGGAAGTATCGTCACTTTTATCATAAAGCATCTCTAAGATCCTCCACCACCACCTGAACACCTTCTGGTCACGCTAGACAGACCTCAAACTGTACCGGACCCCCTCCGACCACGCCGTAAATCACACCGCTGTCACTATTTATTGCCCCCGTCTTTCATGACATCCAGCAGGGTTTAACCATCTTGCACCGCCGCTACATCTGCACAAACGCTTATTATTCAGGTCGGGTCCACAGTCAGTTTAAAGCCCCTCTCAGGTCATTGATTTACCCTCTAGAAATTCATCGCAGCGCATCAAAGTTACAGATTTAGAAGTTTGGGGGGATTTTCTCCATGAAAATAAGCTTCACCGTGAAAATAGCACAGATGTAACTCTGCACTACACGCCTCTCCACGCTCACTGCACCTCGGCACACCAGCTCACCTACGACTCAAACACTATAAACCCACTCTGTCTGTGCACCACAGTGGAGAGTTGTGATGTTGGACAATCATACATTTTAGATTTTAGAATAACAAACATATGGACATGTTAACAAGGTAAAAAAAAAAAACCAACTTGGTTTCCACTGGAGAAGGTCTGTAAGATGTAAGATACATGTTAATAAATCATCCATCATCTCCACACCTTCATCCTCACCAGGGTCATGCGGGTGGAGCCTTTCCAGCTGACTCAGGGTGAAGGCAGGTTCACCTGGACAGGTAACCAGTCTATCACAGGGCTACACTTAGAGACAGACAACCAAGCACACTCACATTCACACCTACGGACAATTTACAATCACCAATTAACCTCAGCATGTTTCTGGACTGTGGGAGGAAGCCGGAGAACCCGGAGAGAACCCACGCTGCACGGGGAGAACATGGAGACTCCACGCAGGAAGATCCCGGGTGTCCTCACCGGGACGCCAACCGGCGACCTTCTAGCTGTGAGGCGACGATGCTAACCACTGAGCCACCGTGCAGCCCATAAATCTTTTTGGACATGTTGATGAAGCCATTTTCCTTTTTTATTTCACATTCTAGGAGAACCATCGTGATTTTTACGTTGCAAACTGCAGAATAAGGAAACAGCTGTCTAGTTTGTAAAGACAAGTCCAGTCTCTGTAACGCACCAGCAGGTTTTTAATACAACATGATGTAATGCTGACTCACTGTTCTCGGCGTCTAGACGCGTCACCGGGTCAAAACATTTCTGTGATACCACCCAAAGGTCCGACTCTCCCGTCAGCTGCAGCTTACATTAGTTATTAATTAGCAGTTTTAGCATGCTAACATGCTAAACTGAAACGCTGTCTATGCACAGTGACGGACGTCTGAGTGGTTTCCCGTGAATATGTGTCACGACGCTGCTTCTCTGTCTTTAAATAAAGACGCCATCAAATCAGCCCACAGCCGCTAATGCAAAAATAACAATCCCACATTTCCTCTTTTCTCCGTCTTCCCTGCACTTCTCCACTCCTTCACACTCTTTCCTGCTTTAACACTCAGGGCCCAGCGGCAATTACGAGTAATGAAGCCTCTGAGGCTGTTAAATAAATCTTTTTTGATTTGTGGTGGTGGTGGTGGTGGGGGGGTTCCCTTCACCTTCCTTCCTCCTGCTCGGCGAGCTTTCCGCTTCAACCCAAAACAACTGGAGGGTTTCAGCTGTAATCACTCCCCCGCATTTAAACACTCAGCATAAAAATGTGATGTTGACAAAGCCGTTTTAATTTCTTGGTGGAAGCCGAGCTGTCTGACGACGCATCACACGGGACGCCGCTCCTCCTGAAGCTGCTCGTCTCGCTTTGGAGGGACAAGACCAAGTGTCCCCCCGGTTGGGGCAATTGTTTTAATAAGGCAGATAACAAGATCCCTTACCTCTGGAGTGCACAATCAGAATTAATCATATCACCGGTTCCTTCAACTAACCTCCGTCAACTCTGAATTTAACACGACAATTAATTAAAACTAATGTCTGCAGCCTCTTGCTTCTCTTTTCAGTCTCTTTGGAAGCTGATCTTAGCAGAACTTCTGGTGCCACCTCAGTGTTTTCTCTGCTTTCTTTCAGCTCGTGCATCCTGAACTTTATCCCTGAACCCCTTTCAAGCCCAAAATAAGCCACGCTTCATCCCGCTTTACATCCAATCCCACCGTTGCCTTTTCACCTTCTGTTATTTACTCCTCACTCTGTGTGGCCTCTCCTGCTGCTCTCACTAAAATCAATACATATGAAGCATTCTTTATGGAAACCTGCTGCCTGTAGGGGTTTTAGGACATACATTTGCATGGGGATTGACTTTGAAACGGCACCAGAGCCATGTTACAGGCTTTGGTAATGGCTGCAGCCTGACTTAATCACGTAATTACCGGGTTGGTTCGGTTCCAAAATGAAGCTGAAAATCATTATTATAATTTCAAAATAACTCATGACCTGAATCCACCTCTGAATAATCATCCTCTTTCTTTTTTTCCCCCCCTCTCTCTCTCCATCCTCCTGCATTCCCCTCCTTCAACTTCCTGCTCACTCCAGAGTCCTCACCAGAAACAATGCGACGGCTGATCCCAGTATAAATCCAGCCACCACATCCGAACAGTGGTTTCGATACTCCGAGACCCGGTTGAGGCCGGTGAGGAAGGCCGTGCACAGCGTCCCCAGGCAGAGCACGGGCTTGGCCAGGCGGCTGGACTTGGTCTTGATGGTGCTGGTGATGTACATCTGGAAGGGAGGACAAGGGAGAGTTTGGATGAGACCACAGCAGTAGTGTTCTGTAGTGTATAGAATGAGAGCCACTGCTTCTCCAGTCACATATGTTGTAGTTTCAACAAAGTCCAGC